TCTTAAGTCTTCTGTGCATTTTTTTTCATACTCTCGATACATGATCGACATATTCAAAGTTGCTGGGAATAGTTTAATGAAACCACATAAATACTTGAAGAGGTGTCCCATGTTTTTGTGCTAAAGCTAATAAATTTTTTCCATTTGTAATAGAAACTGTATCCTGTATCTTTAAAAATATTCTTAGACTTTTTGGTCATAACCATTTTCATCTGGTAAAGTATATATACCCGAGTTTTAGACCAACGTAAAGTTCTCGTTTTCAACATATTTCTAAAGTAACTTGTATATAAGAGTAATTTTATTGACAAGTTAAGCCAATAAAATTTTTAAAGATGCTTTGCTTTCGTTCATTAGAAATTTTCACGACTCTTCATTTTGTAAGAACATGGTCCAACTGCAGTTCTTTAGTATTTTTATGATTTCATTCTTCCGTGACATATTCTTCTCCTTTCTCCCTGCCATCTTCCTTTTATACTTTGCATGATTCTCAAGATCTCTGACTCTCTGAATTTTGGTGCGATTTGCCTTTTGGTGTATCATTGTCTTTATTCTTAGTGTTCGGCAACTCATTTTTGAGTTTTTTCGCTCGAATAACTATTATTAAATGAGTCAAAAAACAGTCTAAGCCAAATTTGTTTATAAATGGGCATATTAAGGAATATCTTGCTTGTTTTATATTTGAATGTTAATAAAATTGTAACTTTCTATCTAAATCTTTGAAATCGTATCCAAAAGGCTCCGATGCGTCACTGTTTATGTTTACATGCGCCATGTTTCCGTTGGTTAGTCAGTTTTGCCGCAGCTTTCTATGACATTTTGTTAGTTCGAAAACCATTTCATAGATGGGAACACCATACCAACAAAAGTTTGGTTTAAGCTGATTCTGCAGACGATTTTTACAGAAATTATCATTGTTACGAAGAATATAAGGAAGTGTGTTTATTAAAATACACGATTTTCAAACATTTATTTATAATATATAAAAATTGCAGTCTCAATAACAAAACTTATTACCTTAAACAGATTTATTTTTATATTGTGTAGTTATTTAAAAACATTAGAATTAAATTGAAGTATAACAAAAGGTAAAAGTTAAGCAAACTAGCTTTAAGCCCTATCCTCCATATTTTAATTCTTAAATTTTCTTTCCACAAGAACCTTCTACACAGTATTAGAAAACTTCAAAAAAAGATTAATGAAATCGGTAAAAATCGTTCTCAAGTTAAGGCGCGACATAATGAAATATAGATTCATTTTTATATAATAGATTAATTCATGAAAGAACATTCAAGTTGCGGGATTCGCAATAAAAGTAATGGTAAAGTAATTCAATTTATTGAGAAAAAAAAACATAAAAAAAGGATCGTGACATTTTACCGATTTTGACTCATAGTGGGGACATTCTTAGTAATAGGCAATTAATGAAAAATACATTATGAACTAGGTACTGTTTTTGTATATAAATATAACACAAAGTCAAAAAATTTAGTATTTTTTTGAATGCATGAAAAAAGAGTATTTTTGTGTGCTAAAACATTTTAATTCCTAGCTGGGCACTTTTGGCTTACAAAAGCCATTCTTAAAGCTAGGGTCAAATTTATAAAGGACTACTATTAAAAAACTTTTAAAAAAATTTTAATATGTGTTTATAGAGTCTAATGTGCTGTTCTATTTAACGGACTTCGGATATAACGGACAAAAAATCCGGTCAAATGTAAAAAAAAATAAAGTAGGTAAGAGACAGAAAGTGAGAACATCACATATTATTAGGGGATTCCCTGATATAATAAAGCGTAGCTTTCTATGATTATATGGGTGTTTACCACGCTGGCCGAGGATTCACGCAACTCTACAGCAGTTTGATTTGTTTATTCGTTGAGAATGAACACATTTAGTGTACGCCAGTAAATAAGTTAAAATTTTCGCAGTCCTGCCCTTTAATTATGGATAAACGGAAAGAAACAATCAAAAACTAGAGATTATAAAAAAGTTGGAGTCGAGAACGTCTGTGTCTTATGTATGTGATCAATATGGCATAAAAAAGCAAACTGTTTCGGGCATAAAAAAAACAAAAGCCAAATAAACAAAATTGCATTCACGTGTGATGTAGGAGAAAACAGCAATCTCAGAAAACGAATAAAATTGGCTTGTGAAACTTCACTGGAAGAAGCAATGTTAGAATGGTACGGCCAACAAAGTTTTATTCGGTCTCGTTCCTGGCAGTCGAACTGAAATCTGCAGTAATTAAATTAGCGAATCATATAGACATATCATTCAGAGCAAGTGATGGATGGCTCTGGCACTTTCACAAATGGCACGGAATCATGAATAAAAGAATTTACAGCGGAGCTTCAAGTGCACCAAAAGATACAACCTTATAGGCAAAAATTAGTAGAACATATAAGTAACGAAACTGGCGAAACTGGTTTCTTATGACGTACTTTGCCTGAAAGCACACAAGCCTCCAAATATGAAAAGTCGAGTTCTGGAACAAAAATCAGCAAGGACAGGATCTCGGCACTGCTTTGTGCTAACGCCGATAGATCGCATAGATTGACTGTTGTTATGATTGGTAAATTTCGTAAACCTAGAGTTCAGAATATAAAGGCAAAGCGTTCTTGCCCTATATATCGGGAGTAACGGACAGAATTAGGCGAATACTTAAGAAAGCCAACGTAAAGACCATTTTCGAGCCTACAAAGAAAATCAAGGACTATTTAAGATCGGTGAAAGACAAACGCGACCCATTAGCAACGGTTGGAGTATACCGAATACCATGCACATGTGGAATGGTATATGTGGGAACCACGAAAAGACACACAAACACAAGGATAAATGAACATAAAAGTCATTGTCGTTTAGGACATATTATCGACAAATCTGCCGTTAATGAACACGCTTTGAGAAGCGGAGAACATCGAATACTGTTTGAAGAAACGCAGATGCTGGATAAAACATCACAGTACTACCCAGGGTTGTATCGGGAAGCGGTGGAAATATATATACCAAATAATTTTAATCGGATAGAAGAAAGACTGAAAATTAACATGGATACCAATATTAAAATCCCCAAACACCCTTCCCCCAAACATGAAGATAGAAAAGCGACTACAAATGACGACACGCCCCCTAAAGCCTAAACCAGTGGAGGGGAGGCGAGTGGGAAATATAAATATTGCCTCCGTAGTAGAATGCGGGGTCAGTTTCAGGTTACAAACGAAGCAGTAACATCTCCAGAAGATGCCAACCAATAGTGTTGGTGAAACGTCGAGAACTAATCTCAGAAGACAACGACCTAACAGCCCGAACAAACAGGTTAACAAGTTTAGCTGTATATTTTAGTCAAAAAATACAACATCGCTTATTAAAAGGGACTTGTGACAAGGAGTATTCAAAGCTATGTAGATATAGTCTATAAAATACAAATATAAAGAAATATTGCATTAATAACTTGTTCCTTTAAATTTGCCGGTGTGTGTATTAAGTTGTTAACTTCTCATAGCCTACTTTAGGCTTGTTTATTAAACTAAGCAGAAAATGAGCATTTATTGGTAGTTGTTAAAGTACCTAACTTTTTTATTATCCAACACAAGCAAATTAATCAAAAAAGAAAATGTTAAGAAAGCCTGAGGCTATAATTGAGTTTTAATTTCAATATTTTATATATGCTAGAATATTCCACAGGGTGTTACAAACTTTAAGGAAAAAACACAGTATGATTGTTACACCCGGTGTAAAATGACACTGACGTGCCTAGCAACAATATTATTACATCGATATTCTTAAATAATATAAGGTTTGTTCCAGCAAAATCTTAAACCGATTCAGGATCGTACGGAGCCTGCGCTTTACATAAAACGCGTTCCAGCAACGAGAAGTTCAGGATTATAAGTTCGAGGAGATTATTGGTTCAGTGTTCTAGCCCAAAGAACTTTTAATTCCGAACCAATCTGGAATCGTAAATTCGATCCTCAATTTTAAACTGGATTTTCAGTTCGCACATGCGTAAATCTTGATGAACGAATGCCGAACATCATTATTATTGTTTGTTATCATTTAAATGTATCCCATTTATCATTTTGTTGTTGTTATTATATTTCTGTCAATATTAGTTATAATTGCCAGTATTTTATATCCCAAACATTTATTAACCTTTAAAGTCTCCTTTCTTTATATAAATGTTGTTAGCTGATGTATGGACTATGTTGGTTAATTATCATGCACAAAGATGTCAATGTTCTATGATTAAACTAAAATTATATATTTTGTAATCCAATATTTATACTTGTTTAAAATGTGGAGTACCTATATAGATATATTTACATAATTTTGGTTATTATATTACAACACAAATCTCAGTTCAACAACAACCAGAGATCAAACACCTGAAAATAACGGAAAGGGAAAATAATGATTTAACAATATTATATGTCACCTATCAAATGCCAATTTAAATTTAATTAAAATGCGTTCCAGCAAGTGCCAAACATGAACCAGTTCTGAATTAACTCAGAATTGACATGCGCACTCAATAGTTCAGTATTGGTTCAGAATTAGTTCTGAAAATCCGTAATTGGATCGATTTTAATATTCGTGATACGGATAAAATTTTTTTAATATATAATTATAATCTTATTTTATAATTTTCAATTTTCAGTAAACTTTAATCTACGTTAAAATTAAGACAGCCAATTTTTCTGTAAAAAAATGACAAAAAAAAATATGTATGTACCTTTGTTGCGTTGTAAATTTATTAATTGTGTAGCCATAAACATGTCACTTCAGGGGGTGTCCCGGTTGTATAATCGGCTCGAGTAAAAAATGAAAGTATTTTTGACCTGGACTTGAGAGAGATATCTGAACTACGCTTAGAATATTACTTCATGAACAGATTTTGTTTTCGTAAAGAAAGAAATTTTTGAAATAAAGATAGCCTAATGAAATTCACCGTTAAGAATTTTCGACGATGGGCCTTAAAGTAAAAAAAAATATTAATTAAACAATTTTGGTGACTTTTATTAAAAAATATCTTATGTAACTCAAATTCGTGATATTGAGGGCTCTTATATTATATTGTGCTTTTCATTATTCTAATCTGTTTTGAAGAGTTCTTGACCGGACTTTTGGTAACAATTCGTGGATATGCACTCAATTTAAGCGCGTAAAAGTGTCATTAAGTAATAAAAAACTCCACCGCTCTTCGTGACATCTGAAATAGTCCGGAATAAGTTTAAAAGATTAATATAAAAAGATATGATTGAGAACATACAGAGTACGACACATTCGTAACAAATATAGCCGTTATCGTTCTTCCGCAAGTTAAATTGTTTCTGCACTTCCTATAGACATGGGATTCGGACTAGGAGTCGAGCTCATCGAGCTCAGCGTATCTTCTTTCAACCTTAACTTATTCGGATCCTTCTCCTTTTTTTCTTTATCCTTATGTTTATGTTCGTGTTTGTGTTTATGTTTATGTTTGTGTTTCTTTTTATCTTTCTTCTTTTTCTTTATTTTTCCTGGCGATTCGCTCTTATGTCGGGCTTCATCTTCTTTTTTGAACATACCCGGTTCGAAACCGATCGGACCGCTTTGTCCTAGACCCGGTAACGATACCGAATTGTCGGAGAAGTATTCCTGTTTTTGGACGATGGAAGATTCTATTTTTATATCCATGATTTCTTCTTCCTAAAATATGAAAATTTAGATTAATAATTCGTGAAAGTTAAATTTCATAGAGGTGGTACAAACACAGCAAAGTAAAATAAAATGAAAATTAGTGAATCTAATACAAATCGAATAAAAGATAACATGAGAGTCGTAGGAACAGCATCAAAATATGAACATGATTTACCGACTTATTAAGATCAATATAGCAATGGAGAATCTCATTAATAAAAAGTTTGAAGTACGCATGCGACTTTCTTGTTAGAAATAATTGTTTGTGTAAATTATTGATTAACCCACTTACTACAAAAACACACAAATTATATAATCAAGCCTCAGCAAAACAATACATTCAAGATCCTGACCAGTAACAAAGCAAAGGCCATATATGAAGACCAGTTTTCCATTTAATTCAGATAACTTTATTACTAGTGGACCAAGTAAGCGAAAATATCTATTAAATCATCTTTAAGTGTAACGTAGTAGAAATCTTTATGTAATATGTAACGTAGTAACATAGTAGAAAAGAAATATGTACTAGGTCGGCCATATCTGTGCAGATCGTATTACCATTAAATGATCTGGTATTATTTAACATCTTATAGGTAAATGGTCAATTGGCATCTTATGTAAAATTTTATTTAAAACTATTATTATTATCCAGATTTAGCCATACGGCTCACACTCCCTCTAAGGCTAAAATTCACCCATCCCAGATACCTACGTTATCAAAAGGATCGAGCTCTGGTGGAACTCTTTCCATGTTATCTGGACGTCGAAAGTAGTACAGTTTTCTGCATGATCTTATATAGATGTTCATTTAGACCCAGCTTTTTTATGTTTTCTAAGAGGTTCTTCGGGATGACTCCAGTGGTAGAAAGAATAATAGGTATCGTCTGGGTACTTTCCATTCTCCATTGTTTCCTTATTTGTATTTCCAGATCTCTGTACTTAACGATCTTTTCGTTGTACTTACCACGTAGTTTATTGTTATTAGGTATCGCCACATCGATTAGAGTTCTTTGTCTTGTTAGTTTATTAACTAGCACGAGATCTGGTCTATTATGTGTTACAGTTTGGTCTGTGAGCACAGTGCGATCCCAGTATAGCTTGTACTTGTCATTCTCAAGCATACTCTCAATTCAATCTTGTTTAGAAGCCGTTTCTCCCAGGGTGCAACTCTGTTATCTGTCCTTCCGGCATTGGTACCCCGTCGTGTTCTTAATTCCTAATACATTAACTGTTGCTGTTGCTGCACAGTAAATGAGCCTGTACAAATATTCCAGCTTATGGGCTTCTACGACGTAATTGAGTAGGACTTCAGTATTCATAATTTGTAAAGACCACCTGGTTTTTAAGAAGAGTTTATTTTTGGTAGCGCTGGTCTGCTAAGTGGATTTGTTTCATTAAACTTTTGTCCAGCACCTGTCATTTCGCTTACCAGTGTATCGCGTAACTCGTTGTTGTCCTGTTGTGTATTATCAGGTTGAGTTTCTTGTATGGCAAGCTCATGAATCTGCCCATGTCTGCTCATGTGTGATGCTCATGCATCATTGGGGACTTGATGCACATTTACCTGTTGGTGATTAATTTCCCGTTCGATTTTGCTTCTGATGATATTGCGTCTAGTCTCTGGGATAAGATTGTTTCGTATAATTACCCGGTATTGATCAGCAACTCGTTGTTCAGTTACTTGAATTTCTTGGTACTCCGTGCAAAATTCGGCATAAAGATTTTGTCGATATCCGATCGTTTCTTGACCGAGGTTTGTCACCTCGGTCAAGAAACGGTCGGTAATAGAAGCGCCAAATATTTTCATGTATGGACGCAGTCCATTTCATGCGCTGCCTCAGTCGCCCCGCTTGGGTGAGCGTCGGCTGATGTTCCTGCGCAGCACCTTCAGCGAGTGGAGCTCTTGTTGTTGTTTGGCTCGCTTGTGGTTTTTCTTGCTGTTGTTGAACTGTAGCTGATTGTATAACAGGGGCCCACCTCCTCAATATCCTGCCACCAACGTCGTTATTATTATTATTATTTCATTTTTTAATCTTTAAACACAAACATGATTAAGTTTATTTAGTATTTAATTTTTAGTTCATTTAGTAATCTCAATTAATAATTATATACACTTCATCTAATTTATATAACGATGCACGTCATCGGCGTCATAGTCTGTGACGTCATATAATACCAACACGAAATATTTAGGGTTTAGGTGTGTTCTTTTTAGAATCACTTTACCGAGTACACTGGCATTACAGCCACTAGGCATATTTTGTTATATACGCGTAGAAATAATATTTAAAAATTTCTATTAATGTTAACTTAAAGAAATATACAATAATATGTTTCATTTAATTTGTATAAATCCATTATAAAGAGTTTTTATCAAGAACATTTGTTCGGAACACACTGTAACTGTAATCGAACGAAGGTAAAATTTTGGCATAAATTGATAACACTTATTTGACAGTTGCGGTGTTGACACTTTTTGTACTTTATTATTTTGAATTTTTGAACTGAATACCTCTTGTTTTATTTATTTTTACCTATTTAATAAAATCTGTTCTTTTTAGAACAAAATTAGTGTGTTTTATTTCAAAAATGTCACGTAAGAAGTTAAATAGTCGTTGTAAAGAGATGGTAATACTTTTGCAATAATTATGTGACCTATTTGATTTAAAATGGAGTCAGGATTTTTTTATATTTTGGCAACTATGTCAACTTCGATCTCTGACGTAGATAATGACGTAAGTCGTTATCTAAATTAGATGAAATATATTTATATTAGTATTATAAGGTAAGTATAAGCTAAGTTCAAGGTTTCAGGAGTCGCCATCCTGGTCACCGGCCGCCATCTTGGAAAAACAAGGTGAAAGCGTTATCGCGCTGTATCTCGTAAACTAACAACCCAACAATTTTATCAGACAATATTTGTAGCAAATTAAATTGTCAATAACTTTATTTTTATTACTTTTAACCGTAAAATAGCAAATAAAAAAGTTCTAAACAGAAATATCATTAACAGAATAATAAAAAAATTTCTTTTGGGCCTTATAACTTTTTTTGTAATTTTACAATAAAATGACATCAGAGCTGTATCATGGAGGCTTTTTCATAGAATAATTTTCACTATAAATTTGTTTAACTTGATTGATTTCTTTGCATTTTACAGCGCTCCGAAGCTGACCGGGTTCTTGAATACTCGCCATCTTGGAATAAGGGGTTCAAAGTGTTTTCGCACTCTATTAGCTCTACTTGTCGCCCACCACACATACTTTCACAGTTTCACTTGCAGAAAATTAATTTCAGAAATTCGGGGTATGCTAGAGTTTTGAAAGTTTTTAAAATTCAGAAAAATTCATGAAATTTAACAAAACTATATTAAAAAGATTTAGCCTCATGGCGACAAAGATACCTTCACTCTATTTGAGAGGTTCGGTCTGCAATATACGACTGTTACGAGTTGTATCGTCAAGCATTTGTGGACGGTTTATCAACAGAGTTACGAGCACCAACGGGTAAGGGGCAACGACTGATGCCCATATAGGTAGTGAGAGTGGTGCACTAATTTTTTTATCCAAAAAACAGGGGATTATCACAAAGACATGGACGCACAATGCTTTAAAAATGGTTTGAATTTCTTCTTTCACGACTTAAACCAAATTCGGTAATAGTGATGAATCAAAATGAAAAATGGTTATGGTGAACTAGAAGCACAGTCAAGAATTACTAGATAAAGAGAAGAGAAGGAAAGTTTCTACGTACGATATAAAGTGCACTTAACTATTACAAAAAACAGAAAAGACGTAACCAACATGGTGCAAAAAACAAAAGTAAATATAACAAACTTCCATGGACGTATAAATAAAGATTTTTATTTATACGTCCATGCAAATTTCTAACTGACCTTAACTACTATCTTCTCTTCGCCAGCCACCACCTCTATATCCATATCAACTGTTTCCATTATCAAAGTCTGAGAGGTACTTTCCCGTATCGTTGGAGATGGGGTCCTTATTTTAACTTGTTCAGTCGGTTGTGGTACTGTTTTGGGAATCGGGGGTAGTTTAATCTTCTTGCTTCCGTCATGTTTGCTGGGATTCATGATATCGTGGAGCTCGGCAATTGGAAGACACACTGGCCGTTTTGTTCCATAAAGCGTGTAGTAAATGTCGACCAAGTCGCAACGAAGTCTTGTGTCGTGGGATAACATACCACTGTAAATAATTAGGAAGTCATTAAAATTTATTACTTATAGAAACTAGATGTGTCTTTCTGTATAATGTAGAGAGATACACAGAAGGCAAATACTGCTGTGGACTGTCGAAAAATGTTTCTAACAAATGTCTATATAAAAAAATCACTGTTCTTATACATAGATAGAATCAGAACAACTTTGATATAAAGCAATTAGTATACATGGATTGCAAGCAGATTTCTGAGGCGGTCATTTTTGCCGATCATAGGAAAAGCGGCATCCTTTAAACTTTTATACGCATTCCTTGATGATTGTCGCCAGATGTGGCACCTGTGCAGGTGAGTTGTAAGCCATGCCGCCTTCCAAGATGCCGCCGGGTTCCTACTGACCCATTGACGTCACGTGACCGCGCCCATTAAGATCACGTGGCCAATTCAACATGTTGACTGTCAGCTGTTACACTGTCAATCTAACTTAGCGACTGGCATGTATCAATACGTGGTTATTCTAACATGGAGGCTGCCAAGGCGTCTTCTTTTTGTTTGTCACATCGTCTGTAGGACACCTTGGCGTAAGAGACTATAACGTTACAATACCCACAGGCTACACTTCGAAAGGTAAACGGTCTCGAGTAAGTAAACTCACAAACATTAGTACAAACCATTCCAGAATACCGCTTATAAGCCCCGATAACAATGTATTTTTACATTATTATTTTTCAATTTTATGGTAAACCAATAAACATCAGTTTTAGTAAAAATCACTTACTTTATATTGGACCATATTCTTTCTACAAGATCTGGAACGTCCACTTTACTCCGGTGTGCTCTTTTGAACGGAGGATTCTTAATCAAGAGAGTAGCTAGTTTGTGCTTGAGACCAGGATCTGGATCATTTTCTAGGAAATCCAACACATACTGCAAATCTTCATATTTACCATCTGCTCGTACGAAGTCTGCTAAGCATTCCATTGCAGATAATCTTACATCTAAAATATGATATAAAAAGAGTTAATCTTTAGGTAAAGTAACATTTAAAAAAGGACAAAAAAATCAAATGTCTGCAGGTATTAAGGCAATTATCGTAATGACTAATGGAGCTTAATCTTATCGTATAGATAATAAATGACAACGGACTTCCAGTGACGCACAGCAAAATACACCTAGGATTAGTTCCTCTAATCAGCTTAGCTCACACTGGGTTAAGGTTGATCTGCACCCCCAAAAAATAAATTCCAAATTCAAAAAATTTGAAAAAATTTGAGAAGGTGTATGAGATGACTAGAAGTATTTTGACCACTTTTAAGCAAACTTCATGTTTTCGTTTTTAAAAAAACTACTTTTTTCCAAGTATAAAGCGGGAAAACCAGACATATAATTTTGTTAATTTTTTTACAGCATCAAGATATAATTATAAGAAATACTTAGGAATTTTTTGAAAATTTTTAAATTTACAGTTTTGTCCCAATAGGAAAAAATAATATGTTTCTGCTTATAATAAAGCTTCCGGTAAGAAACCAAAAAAATTTTAATAACAACATATATAAAACTGTAAAAGTGGAAAATATTTGCAATAAAACGTTAAATATTTTTTCCTAAACATATGAAAAATCTCGTTAAACAAGAATTATGTCTTAAACCGCCGCCTTCAAATGTGTAATGTAGGGAGATGGCTCCATCTGAAACAGTGGTAGTATTTATCATCGATAGATAGCATTACGTTCGGCTTCGAAACGCTTCAAACGAAACGACATAGTAACAGGGTTGCCATATCAATTACTTTGTACAACAATTTGGCAGAATATAACAAAACTTAGTAGGAATGTTATAGGTTTGAATTTTGAACTGGTCATGCTGAAACTTACAGAGTTACAGAATAGTAGATACTGCAACTTTTATTTTGAAAGTACGATATCATAAAATTTACACTCTAAGTATTATATCTATAAAAAACTTATCTAGTTTGAAAAACCTATTTAGGCGTTTTTAGTAAATTATTTTAGTATTTATAAACAATAGTGTTCCTTGCATAACGGCCATTAAAGGTTAAATTTGCAGATAATGATAGCCCATTACTTATGTTGCGCAATAATATGAGGTTGTTAGGAACCAAATTTTCTAGAATTCAATTGAAGGATGACTTAACTAAATATCAAATAAACTATTTGAATAAGGTGCGAGAGGAACTGGAAAAACGTAATCTACTTAACAAGGAACTAACAATAAAGTATATTAATAAAGTTCCAACTATTATTAGTACTAACCAACAAAATGCCGCAAAAAAACAAATAGGGTTGACAACAATAAATATTTTTTAGACTAATATTGCTTCTTTACATGCTAAGTTTTCTGACTTTTTGTCATTTACATCTTCTAATTCCCATATACATATTTTTGGGATGGAGTTCCTCGGAAATCGGTACGGGAAGTTAATAATTTTAGTGTTACGGTCAACCAAACAATAAGTTGGTCTACTCAAACACCAAAAGTAGTTAGTAAAGCGAACTCTGCTTTATTATTTATCACAAAAGCTTTTCATAGAATATCTCCAGACTTATTTGTGAAATTCTACAAAAGTTATGTCAGACCTCATCTAGAATTTGCAGTGTCATTTTGGTCACCTCATTTGCAAAAAGACATTAATTTATTAGAAGGAGTACAACTAAGAGGGACCTAGCTACCTTTTAATTATGGAAGATTGGACTATGAAACCCGACTAAGAAAGCTCAAGTTGTCTCCATTAACTCTTAGACGATAAAGATATGATGTCATATCTACTTATAGAATTCTTAGTGGGGATTTTTGGAGGGGGCGGTAGACTGTTGTCAATAGCGACTAGACCAATAGTATTTATGAATATGACAGTTTTATGGACTTTAAAAATGTGATTTCCATAAATTTTAATTATAATTCACGCCGTTATTAATCAAAATTCAGAATTTGCGCAATGATATGAAATTATTGTATTTCAAGATAATTTATAATAACCAATTCATATGTTATTGCGTAAATGTTATTGCATTTGAGTGATATGTGCGATTTCTTGATAAGTAAGTAAGACTGTAGACCCGCATTGTATACTAATGATTTTAAAAAAATAAACGAATTATCTCAACCTCTGTTAAAACTCGGTAGAGAAATGGTGAAATGTCCAGGTTTTAACTTCTAACACAAAAATACTTGATATTCTAACAATTCAGTCAAAACTGATGAATTATTTAGAAGTTCAGAAACTATACGACAGCTTATTAGAGAATTTTTCTACCAGCCGGTTTATAGAAAACTAAATAGGGAATTACCTGCATCAAAAACCTCTATTTATAGTTCATTTTATAAATAGTCACTTCATATTCATAATTAGAATGGATAAATATAAGAAATAAGAGTATTACTTACCAATAAAATGACCATAAGCTGCATAGCTCTTGAACAGAGTCGGGCGACTTGGCAAATGCCCAAACTTTTGCAACTTCCTTATTGCTTTCAAACAAGCCACGGACACTGTATATTTATAACAAGGTAATGCTTTTTCTAAATTCAACAGCCTGGTGATCTCTTCCAGGATCAACTTCGTTTCTGTGCTAAGACTTTCAGCTGTTATCGGAGTACCCTGCGCAACAACGGACACCACTGGTGTTATGGTATTACCTAAAGCTTCTACCAAAGCCGCTCTATAATAATTATCAGAATGTCTGTTCTTCGAGTTGTCGTTGTACTTGAACAAATCTAGCAAGAAGCGAACCACTTCAGGAGGGCAAATGCCGAGAGTGTTTCGTAAGCCAGCCATTGCGAGAGGAATAGTTTTCTGAAGGTAATAGTGCTGGAAATTTTGGAAGCTGTTTTGTCGAATTATGTGCGGAGCTGCAAAAGACCCGAAGAATTTTCGGAATATGGCCAACATCGCCGGAGGACCGGCCCAGTTGGCTACCATTGCATTTGCTACCTAAAAGTAAGTCAAGATAAGTAAGTTTCCAAAACATTAACAGAAAATATGTTAATTGTATACAGTTTCCTGTTGGAATATAATATAAAAGATAGATCAAGCTGCGGTTCTACTCCACATCTTACCTTCGTTAAACAATTGGCCGCTCTACATCGAACTTTATAGTAACACTGCTCACTTTCGATGGTGTCAGTTAGAGCTAAACGAGTAGGAGGAGTGGGATACCGCTCCAAAGCAATTATAGCTTCGATTTGAGCTGTAACATCTCTCTCGTGTCGAAGTTGGTACTGCCATTGGTAATCAGGCTGTTCTATAACAACTGACCTCAGAAGGGTCATTTCCGGGTCCAGACGTATCCACAAAACTGGTGAATCACTAAAAATGATTTATATTAGAACCGATTACTTAAACATATTTTCAGACTTGCTGTGAAAATAAGAAAAACATGTTTTGATTATTTATATGAAACTTTTTAAAGCAATGAATGAGATTGCCGACAAGTTTATTTCTCAAATTTGCCACTAACAAAATGGATAGGCTACTAAATTTTAAGGAACACAACTTTCTTTCCAAGATACCATTTTTTCTAATTTAATACGAAATTATTGCTAAGCAACACTAAATATTCAAAAATATTTTAATATTTCTTTTAAAATTGATTTGATTCAGAAAGCAGTAAGTTTTATTTGACTCTGTATTGGGTTTTTTTAATTCTGGTCGTCCACTTATATATTCGAATGTTAGTTTATCATAAACACTTGAATTCTGAACGGAAAGATATTTTCACTTATTAGTTTTAATATTCTGGGATTTGTTTCAAAAATCATCTGGAGATTTTACATAGTACAAAGATAGATTTTATTAAATTAAAATTAAATTCTTTATTTCTTTTTGACAAACATAGTTTGTATAGAATTAGTCATAAATATATATTGCTACAAACTAAACACTAAACTAGACTAAACAAGACATGAAATGACAAGCTAAACGAAATACAGCTAATATCTAAGATCTAAAAAATTCTTCGATTGTATAAAACACTTTTTCACATAAAAATTGCTTAAGATTCCTCTTAAATACATTTATTGAACTGGTGGACTTTACAACTGTGGGAAAATGATTAAACACCTGTAGCCCGTATACCCTGGGCGATTTAAGTTTAATGTTACCTTTTGAAAATGGTATATAAAGTTTATTACAATATCTAGTATTTAAAGTATGCATATCACCACTAGTTTTAAACTGATGTAAGTTATTAAAAATATAAACACATAATTCAAAAATGTATAGACGCGACAATGTTAAAATTTTATATTTTTTAAAATATTCTCTACAACTAGTTAGTCGGGAGACACCAGCGTCACAACGCAATATTTTCTTTTGTATGACGAAAATACCATTTGCATAACCAGACATACCCCAAAAACATATCCCGTATCTTAGCCTGGACTCTACGAGTGCATAATAAATCATAATTAGCTGATTTTCCGTCAGAACATATTTTAAATTTCTAATTAGATAGTTAATAGAACTCAACTTCGAAACAACCGCTCCACAATGCAACTTTCAATCCAAACTTTCGTCAATCGTTATTCCCAAAAACTTGCCTGACGACACGGTACCTATTTGCATGTTGTTAAAAGTAAGCTGAAGATTTTCCAAGTATTTTTGTTTGTTGTGAAAATGTATAACTTGCGTTTTTTCTGCATTTAGATGCAACGAGTTATCGCAAAACCAAGAATATAAAGATGAAAGAAAATTATTACATTGATGTTATAGGATTACGTTGGATTTGTTAGATAGAATAATTGACGTATCATCCGCATATATAGTGAAATTTACCGCTCTGTCCACTTGTACGATGTCGTTAATGTAGACTACAAAGAGAATTGGTCCTATTATAGATCCTTGGGGAACACCCATGTTTGTAGTAACAAGACTAGATCTACAACTGGTCACACAATCCTCGATCCTTGTCTGCAGGCTCACATATTGTTGTCTATTGTTTAAAAATGACATAATCCACTTTAAAGAGTTTCCTGTAATACCTATCTGTTTTAGTTTTTTTAAATAATATTTCATGGTTTACACAGTCAAATGCCCTACTAAGATCACAAAATATTCCAATAGGACATTCGCCTGCATCAATCAGACTGGTTAAATGAGCATAAAATGCATGGACTGCCGTATTAGTAGATTTATTTTCTTGAAATCCATGTTGATTTATAGTTATGATATTATTGTTTTTTAGATAACCATTTAATCTCTTTAAATATCCATACTCAAATACCTTTGAAAATATACTGGGAATTGTTATAGGCCTATAATTGCTGACCAGTTTTGGATCTCCTTTTTTAAAAATGGGAACTACTTTGCCTGTATTTAAGTAATTAGGAAAATCCCCATTGCAAAAAGACAAGTTGGTTAGATAAGTTAAAGGATTGATTATAAAAGGTAAAACTTTTTTCACCAAAAATGCAGGTATCTCGTCAAAACCACTAGAGGATTTGTTTTTAAGTTTACTCTGGAGGAGTTCGATCAGTTCCTGCCCAGTAAATGGGTACAATTGAAAGAATTTTTTATGATCTGTAATAATTGACTGACTGTCTTTGTCTAATGTATTACTTGGAATTTTCGACACGATATCAATGAGTGCATTTTTAAAAAATGTGTTAAAAGTGCATGCTACCTCTTGGGGATCTGTTATTATATTATTGTCATCATACATTAAAAAAGTTTTAGCATTGTTATTAGCACTTTTTGAGTAATCATTGACAACTTTCCACGTGATTTTATTGGGATTATCAGACGAAGTAATGATGTTCTGGTAATAATCTTTTCTTGTTTTGGTCAAAAGTTCTCTATGTTTTTTCCTTTGTTGTTGATAAAAATCTCTAAGAATTGGTACTGCCCTTGATAAAGCGTGTAAATTCCTTAATTCAAAACTAGACTTTCGCACTTCACTATTAATCCATTTATTTTTAGTTGTTTTGATTTTTTCCTTGTTAATGGAAAGCTATTATTAAAATGATACAAAAAGATATTTATAAAAGCTTGAAATGCTAGATTAGTGTCTAAGATTCCATAAACATTATTCCAGTTTTCGTTAATGAGGTTAACGATAAAGTGATTTATCGATTCCTCACCAAATTGTCTTTTTTGTATAAAGTATGATAATTCCGCTTCAAAGTCAAGTTCCACTAAAACCGTTCTGTGATCTGATACAGTGTTGTCAAGTATACATGACAAACCGGAGTTCGAGAAATTTACAAATACATTATCTAACGTTGTTACGCTGGTATCCGTGACCCTAGTTGGCCAATTGACAAGATTAAAATTAATATTAAAATTCAGTAAAACATTGAGTAGATTAACATGGTCGTTAGTCATATGTCTGGTATCTACATTAAAATCACCACATATTACAAAACGTATATTTGGTTTATATAAACAATTTAAAATACCTTCGAGGTTATTCAAAAAAATACTTAAATCACCAGATGGTGATCTGTAACAATTTAATATAACATATGAGTTATTTTTCTTGTCTTTGAAAGAAGTAATACAATATTCAGAATGTTTATCAACACAATATTGCTTTATCCTAGAGTTGAGTTTGTTATTAAAATTAAGACCTTTTCCACTATACATCGAGTGTCGATAATATATTGACTCTTGTTACGCAAAGAAACAGAAGACTATCCAGCCAACTACACAAAAAACATTCCACCATAAAATTAAATTCATTATGTTTACTCGCATTATTAAAAAAAGGGTATCGTAACATATCCCTCTATCCATTCAAACACGAATTTAAACCAGAAAATGTTGTTGTAAATACTTTATTGTAACTCTATATATGTAAACTCAAGATGGCAAAATCTACAGCTCTGCACAAACACATCAGGAAGAAATCTGTCTACTGTCATTGAAGGGCACGATCTCTTCGGGATAATGCAACAGACAGTAATTCGTACGCCGGTTTCTAAGAAGATCACTTCAACCATGCTTCTGACAATCTTTCAATCTAGATTTTCTAGTAATGCCCTATCTTTGGTAGGGTTAAATTCTTGGTGTCATAATTATTTGTACTTGTAGATGGGCATATCCATAGCATTTTTCATCTTGATCCTTAGGAATCGATCTTAGGATATCCGCAGCATCACTTCATAAAGCAGCAGCCAAGGAAACAGCCTTTTCTTGTTCTGTCCAATGATTGTCTGTTGAATAGCTTCAAATTGTCTAAAGTATATGGACCAAGAAAACTTCCCATCGAATGGTGGCAATTTGAATCTCATATGATGCGTCGTTTTGTCTCTAGATGATTCTTCTTTCACTACAGGATCTTAAAGTACTGCATTAACTGGTGGTAGACCTTTTGTATTGGTTATCATGGTCTCTAATTGTTTGATTTTCTCTTTTACGTCGCTTATATTTTTCTGTATCTTATCGAATGTTCTAGAAACTTCTACAAATGTCTTATTGTTCTAACTACATACTTCTTTAATTAATTGAGAAGTTTCGTCTAATCTTCTAGAAACGTTTTCGAATTTCTCGTCGTTTTGTCTAGCTGCGTCTTTAATATTTTGTGACGTTTTATCAAATATTTTGGAAATATTTTCGAATATATCATCATTCTTTCTACAGGTTTTTTCAATCATTTGTATTTTCAAATTTCTCATTTATTTTCGTTAAAACTGCTTCTTCTGTTGACTGAAAATAGAATATGTATCCGGGTCATCACCAGTCGTTCTTGAAGGATCTTCTTGGACCTCCTGCAGTCTTCATCTCATTCTTCTAGTTGTTCACGTAATTGTTTTATTGACAGTTCTGCAAGCTGCATCATTAGTCAGGCACACACTACCGAACTACGCGGATGTTCCCGACAAACAATACTTTTCAAAAGTTCAATAGTCTTTTTAAAACCACTGTTTAATTTATTATTAAATTAATAAATTACCTCACACCGTAAAACCACTGTAACGTGTTTAATAAAATGAGGGGGTCAGATATATGTAAATCTATTTACTTTTAAGCTTAGAGTACGATAATATCTGATCAACCAAACTCGCTCAATAAGAGTGCCGCATTTATATACGAATGCATTATTTATTAGAATAATCTGGAGTAGTCCAGCTCTAATCTCGCTTGCATGAACACCTCTTCTCCATATATTAGTCGATACATCTGGAACATTCGGTTATGTGTTATAATTGTTCTGAGATGCAACGGTTATATGGTGTACATCAAAATTAGCTTATTATTTACAATATTATTGCAGCATAACACTGACCAATCGACTGGAACCATGTCACCGATAACCAAGAAACTCAGAACTTTCCATGAAAATGTCTCGAATATTTTGCTTGAGGATATAAGCCGGTTTTTGGTATTTAGTCGTCAGTCTGTATGTTGATTTTAAGAAGCAATTACACAAATAAATAGTGTATAGTAAAAAAACTGTGAATTTAATTAACGTACCATTATTAACAAAATAAATATTAAGAACTTACTCCATTGCACTTAAATCCATATCAACCTCTTCGCCAGTACACAAAGGAATTTTCTTTTTCTTATTCCTTCGACTTTTTGAATGGCACGTTATGTCCGATTTCACAACGGTGTTCTCTATTTGCAAACTGTGCTTGAACGTACCATCCAATTCCTGTAGAGTGACTAAGAGAGGACCAACATACTTTCGGATCCCTAAGGATGATGTTGCATCTTGTCGGATTTCCAGTTCGATGGTATTCCTAAAAATATTTATACAATATAATAGTCCGATAACTTTTTAACTCACCTCAAGATTATATATGTACTATGTCTATGAATATTAGCATGGGGTGGTCTAACAAATAATCATATTCAAAAATTAGAAGTGACACAAAGATGCATTCTTAAAATAATACTTAACAAAAACTATTTGTATCCATCTGATTATCTTTACAAATCATCAAATCTATTCGATATTAGACAACTCTATTATAATAATCCGTCATTAATTTAAAAACAAACACCAAATACTGTTTTCAGAGAAACTAAAATTTTTGCTTTAAAACTGGCTTTCCCTTTGGTTACAAATACATAATTAATTCCTATAACAAAAGGTTAATTACAATATCTAAATCCTAGGTCATATACAAACAATGAAAAGATTATAATGAGTATGGGCTTTCTAATTCTATATAAAAAGATTTTACCTGCGAGTGTTTAAAAATCAGTTGTTGACATTCAAACCTTTCTGTTAATCTAATACATAAATTTTGTTTACGAGAATGTCTTGAAAATTTATTTAAATGGTCTATTTATTAATTTTTATTTTTCTCTTTGGCTGAGAAGAAAAAGTATGACAGTACATTGTTATATTTATGTCGAATACATATTATTTTATTATTCTTTGTAAAGACAATGAAACCGACTTTACTTAGTAATAAGGTAATCATTTAACACACTACAAAATACACAACATATAACTAACGTTTATGCGTAAAAAATATCAAAATAGTAGAGAGAATATCAATTGTTATGATTATCTTACCTTTTTCTATTAAAAACTGATGTCAAATGGAATTTCGCATGTCCTCCAGTTCTGACCCACTGATCAATGAAGACGGCCATATCCTTACCAGTGACAGTAAATATCGCTTTAGTAAATACATTTGTACTGATCAGCATATGGCCCCAGAGTCCGCTTCCTATCTTCTGTTGAGCAGCGTTAGTAGCTAAGGACAGTTGCTTATTGAATACCTGAAAATAAAATCCTGTTATAAAATAGCTACACTCTACAATTTAAACCAAATACGACAACTTTCATTTTCTTGGATATAAATACAAAAAATAATGAAGAAACTAGGTAGATAATGAATTAAATGATAAAGAGTAAGGATATTACTTATAAGAACGTTTAAGTATCGAAATAAAAATTGCTCTACCTATCATAGTTTACCAATAAATGTATTTTTTTCTAATTTTGTCATAACCGGAAGTAACAACTTTTATTTCTCATATTCCTCATATCTTTGAAGAAGACAAAAATAATTTAAGTAGACACCTACAACATAAAGACCAGTCCCTGGTTTAATTTACTTGTTCATTACTTGTTCAATACTGATGCCATCAATTTCTATTTTACATCTGGTTAGTTATTTGCTGATTTCTATTGTTTTAGTTTTCTGTGTTTTCTGAGATGAGATTGTCACTTTTGCTCTTATGTTAAATGTTTGGATCAGTCTTTACATACTATCTTCATCTTGAGCTAGCAATATTCCGTCGTCTGCGTAACAGAGTATTATTATTCCTTGTTTTCCCATTATGTATCCTCTTCCTCTATTCTCGTTCGCTTCACTGCGAGTGGTTCAGTGGATCTGGGTTCGGTAATGTAAAATTGAAAATAATATTGGTTTGCTTAATATATTTTAAAGTACAAAATATAATAATTCAAATAATTCGACTAATAAACTATAAAGATATTTCGAAGAAATGAAAGTCCATTATCCTGGATTACCTGTAGTAAAAAAATTTTAAAGATATGCAGAAATTATTTTCTTTGTAAAGTGACATAAGTGAAATCATAAACAATGCGAGCGGGTTTTCCAAATGGACTTGTTCAGTGAATAAGACAATACAATAGATATCTAGAAAATATATTTCTCCGTTAGTTCTTAAGAATTTGTAAAAACAGATTAGCATGTTAATAGTTTTTAGGAAATTTCTAATTGTAGGTAAAATTGTTTTTTGTTATCTAAATGAAGAGATGGAGATACATATGACGAGCTTTGATTGGAGGAGATTGAAAAAAGTGGGATGGTTTGTAAGAATGAGAGTTTAGCTAGATTTTTGAGGGAGAAAAAATAATCAGTTGGTTTCCAAGGGTACAAGGCGAGCTGTCGTTGTTCTCTGGTGGTTCCCCAGAGGTAGGACGCAGTAGAAGTGAATGTTTGTGAGTTTTTCGTGGAGTTAGTGTATCTGACAGAAGTTGATCCAGTAAAATATTGTTATATTTTTCTACTTCTATTCCAAGAGTCACTGTTCAGTCCAGAACGAGAGATTCAGTTTATCGAGAGTAGAAGAGACGAGCATAATTTGAACGATATGTGCATTTGAAGGAGATCATTAAAGACGATAGGCTCGCAACAATTTGTTGTAAGATTGCTGATTACCTAGGGGACTGTTAAGAATAGATAGCGTAGGCTGCAAGGAACAAGGATTTAGACAACTCATCATCAGAGAGATAGTTTTACTATTTATCAGTTTTTCTTTATTAAACAACACATATGTTTAACAATTGCTTTAGAAAAGATAGAAATATTTTGATTAGGAGATTTAGAATAACAATTTTGATTTGAAATCTTAATTTATATTGTATGTACCATTAATTTTTGAAGGTTCACGTACGTAAAACAAAATTTTGATAATCATTATATGAGATATTTTTATTGAAGATATTTGAGTGTGAATTTTATTTCAATATATTTTTATTTCAATATATAATGTTGTATCATATATGTTTTTTATTATTCCGGTATTCTTTGGACCTTACCTATCATATGTAAAGCATAGATATTGAAGCACGAGTATAACCCTGAGATAAGAGAATTAAATAGTGTGATAGAATCATAATTGCATCATTTCAATTTAATTGATTTTTTAATTAGCTAATTAATGGCTTGGCGTACCTCAGACCTTCCTTTGTTAACACTATTGATGATTTCATCCATGATTAAATTGAAGAGTCCTCTTGTCTTATTCCGCTTCCTATTTCTATAATAGGTTCTGTAAGTTGTCCATATATTATGTTTTCCGTTTTGTTGTTTTGGTAGATATTTTCAATAGTTTTTATATTATTCTCTATTATACAGCAGATGGTTTACATCTTTGAGTCTTACCCTGTCGAATGCTTTCTTTAAGTCAATCAGACATAGAATTGCTGGTCTATTACACATGTCTGTATTGTACATTGTCCTTTAGTTATTACAATTAATTACACCCATGTTATACTTCGTAATAATCACTGATAAAGCAGGCACATATTTTTGCTTAGGAAATGAGATTTTAAGGATATATTAAGTTTGAAAAATGTGGCACAAGATCGATGTTGGAGGATTTCACTTTAAGAGAACATATACAGTGTAGGAAAAATTTTATGGTCGGTATGGACCTTACGTGAGATGGAGTGAGAAACAGCTGTTTAGAAAGAGAGAGGTATATTAGGTCCGCCCTTTATATCACCAAACATGCATGCCTGGAAAGGGGAAGTTCAACGTTGCCAAACTTATTGGATTTATTTGACCTGTTGTTTTTTTTTGCATTTGAACAATGTTCTAAGATAATCCAATTTGGGCGAAATTGATTTAAATGACAGCTTACTGTTTTTTTTATTGGGAATATGCCACAAGTTTACTTTACAATAAGTGTAATATAACATTTTGATTTCCACTTTGGAAATCGTTTTATATAAATAAAATTTATTAATGTTTCGTATTTTAAGTACGATTTCCGAATTAAAAATCTAAACATCAAAATAAGCTTATTTTAAAGTCACATTGTGCCTTATTCCCAATATGAAATAATAAACTGCATACAATAACACCACATTAAAAAATATTCATACACAATAATTTATTTGGCAACGTCGTCCGTCTGGTCAGAACACCGAGTAACGGGTAGTAGAGGTGGATCGTGGTAATTTTATCGTTAAGAGCGTAGGCTTAACTTAACTTAATTTCGGATTAATATTTTTTAAATGCATTCATTTTTTTCGAATCCTGATAAAACCAATAAATATTCTTGAAAAATTTAAACGCAGAATGAACCAATACATTATTACCGAGGGCCAAAAGTCCCTGAAAACTTCTATAATGTTTATTTTAATAAGTTATAAGGGCGAAAAAAAAAATTAGTGTGATTTTTAATTTCAAATATCTCATTCAAAAAACTTTTTGTTTATTCTAAGGGACTTTCGGCCCTCGGTAATAATGTAATCTTTTATTCTGCATTTAAATTTTTCAAAAATATTTGTTAGTTTTCTCAGGATTCCAAAAAAAATGAATCAATTTAAAAATTTAAATTTTTGTAAACAAGTAACTATGATTGTTTAAAAGTAGTTTCAAGTAAGAGAGTACCTACATAAACAAACATAATGGCTATTATCGTTTATGTGTATATTTATTGAAGTGAAAGAAACTAATGATATATTTATTATAACTTGAAAAATAAACTAAACAATACAAATAGTAAATCGTACTAGCATTTACATTACACGTTATTATTAAATCGCGAATAGTCTAAATTGACATTAAAAAACATAAGTTTTTCTACTATACCTACTTCTTATTAACCGTCTTCTTTTTTTATTTCAAATTAAACCAGATTTTGAACATATGTGTTCACATTTACAATACTGTATGAATATAGGGGTTAAGTTAGGATATACATGGCGATGGTTTTTCCACCGTTGTAATGGACTCTCGATACAGGTGTACGTGTAGATGAGCCATCTCCAATTAATTGATCAAATATACACCATGGATTTAAGTCATCTTTATTGGTTTCTTTTTCTTGTACTGGTTGATTTTCAATAGTACAATCTTTTTGTTCGTTAATTATAGAAGTAACCAGCTTCTTAACTTTTTCTTTTATTTTTTTATCTTCATTTTTATCAGAAAAACCCTGCACTTTAAATGGTAAATCCATAAATGTACATAATGACAATATGCCACTCTGTTCTATCCCTTTAAATATTTTTGCTAAACCCGATATTAGTAATTGTACTACGTCGGATACTATCGATGTAAGGTTACCGTTTGCTAAAATTTTTTTGCAAGAATCTTGCAGGCCGCGTACCATAACAATCACTGAACTACCCTTCAAGTATTTTTGGTCACTCATTGTACTTGTTATTTCTTTAAACGGCCGTAAAATTTGGGAAAGCTGAGAACAAATAATCCAGTGTTTTTTATTTAGATTTGGTCTAAGTCTAAGTCTGTATTATTTAATACCGATGTTGAACGGAAATACACGCCAGTACACCGAAAATATCAAAATACAGAGAGGAGCCCGCCAGGGTTGCGTGCTGTCCCCACTACTTTTCAATGTCTACAGTGATCGGTATTTTAAGAAGCGCTCTCAGACTCAATAGAAGGTATATCTATCAATGGAGAAGTTTTGAATAACTCACGTTTTGCAGACGATACAGTAATAATTACGGATAACAACAATGATTTACAGAACCTAATGCAACGCCTTAATGAACGCTGTCATGAGTACGGACTGAAGATAAATTTAAAGAAAACTAAATGCATGATCATGACTAAATCTGCACAAATATCCAATTGACTATTGAAGATCCTGCAATTAAGAGTGTTAATAATTACAAATACTTAGGAACATGGATAACATCAGATGTAGACCAAACCAAAGAAATTAAGACACGTATTGAAATAGCACGTACATCATTTATTAAACTTAAAAAGTTTCTTTGTTGTCGGGATATAAGGTTAGAACTACGCCTGAGAATGCTTCGATGTTACGTGTTCTCTACTCTTCTTTATGGTCTGAAAGCTTGGACACTAAAACAAGTTCATCTGAATAAGTTGGCCGTCTTTGAATTTTGGTGTTACAGAAGAATCCTACGAATATCATAGATTCAAAAAATGTCAAACATTGAAGTAACTAGAAGGATAGGAAATGAGGCAGAAATAATATTAACTATTAAAAGACGAAAACTTGAGTACTTGGGACATGTGATGAGAGGGCAAAAATATGCATTATTACAACTTATTATGCAGGGCAAAATCCGAGAAAAGCGAAATGTGGAAAGACGAAGAATATCCTGGCTTAAGAACTTAAGGGAATGGTTTGAATGCAGTAGTGCAGACCTTTTTAGAGCGGCAGTCAACAGAGTCGGCATAGCCATGATGATTTCCAACCTTCGATAGAAGATGGAACTTAAAGAAGAAGACGTGAAACGGATTGCCTCTTCTAACTCAGTCATTCTTTTTAACCTGTAATAGGTGAAGTTCTACCTAGTTTCCACGTCTTGGATTGGCCGTTTAGGAACTTTGTTATGTTGTAATTAATACTTTAAAAGCCTTTCTGAAGATAAGGTACTTTTTTTTAATGTTTTTTGCAGAATTGTCGAAAAAAGGACTTTTCATTTTATCTATTATCAAATCAGTTTTGACATAACATTCCTGAAGTAATGAATCTAACAGTTTTTCTTGTTGGCGATTTATATCCAGGAATCCACCCTGCAAACTTTTTAAAAGCTGGTTCTTCACCTATAGAAAACGGATGAAACGAGTCTTTGCATAAGTTTAGTAAATCAATAAGTTTAGTCAAGAAAAAGAAACTGATAAAGATGACTTAAGAACATTGTGTATTTTTGATGAATTAATTGAACATGACTCATCTAAACATACAACTGTATCGAGAGATATACAAGAAGTCGACATGTATTTGTCTGATAATATATTACCCACAATAAATTTCGAACGGAGATTGGAACTGTCCATTACCGTGGTGGAAAAACCATCGCCATGTATATCCTAACTTAGCCACTATAGTCATAAAATATTGTAGAATTGTAACAAAATCTTTTCCTTGTGAACACATGTTTAAAATCTGGTTTAATTTTAAATAAAAGAAGAACACGGTTAACAAGAAAAGTAGAAAAACTTGTTTTTAAATGTCAATTTAGATGATTCGCGATTTAATAATAACGTGTAATGTAAATGTAAGTACGATTTAATGTAAATGTAAGTACTATTTGTATTGTTTAATTTATTTTTCAAGTTATAATAAATATATCCTTCGTTAGGTTCTTTCACTTTAATACTTATACACATAAACGATAATAGCCAATATGTTTGTGTACTCGCTAATTTGAATCAACTAGTTACAGTTTACGAAAAACGGTTTCGATAAAAATTTAAAAAACGGGAGGACCCACCTCTAGTTTTTTAGGTATATTAGGATCGGAACCAGAGAATATGTAAAATATCTCTGATCGGAACTATTCGTCTCTTTAATGGCCAATAGGTGTTAAAAATATTTGGGGAGGGGAGACCAAGGGGAAATATGATTGTTATCTTTGTCTATTCGCTGAAAATATGATTTTATATCTGCGTTAGATATCCTGTTAAATTTTACCATACCGACCATAAACTTTTACCTATACTGTAGATTCCTGCTCGAAAAAAGGACATTAGAGTCCTACAGAAGAAACCAGCCAACTCAGAAACTCTTGAATATCTCATTCCAATCCATATTTTTAATACAAATTAACATCTCATTGGTATAACCCTTATCTAGTGAGTAGATCAAGGAGTTTGGTGTGTTTTACTGAGTCAAATACTTTTTCATAATCAATGAACTACATATAACTACCTTTTTTGTTGATCTCTGTATTTTTGTAATAGCACTGTAGGACCAAAAAAATTGTTCTTCTGGTGCCCAACCCTTAACGGAACCTGAACAGTTCATTACTTAAGTTTTGCTCACATTTTATGTATATTCATTGATGAATTACTTTAACGATAATTTTAAGAGCATTATTTTATAAAACTAGTATAAAAATATTACTTACTTGAAGGAGTAGTTCCAAACCAATCCTATGTTCCAACATTCTCATTACTAAGAATGCCTTTTTATAAAGAGCATCTATATACATTGACGACATAGTATGCAGATTTCTAATAGAAAAATAGAACTTTTCTTCATTGGTTTTCTGCATTGTTTGCGGTTGATTGGATCCCACAGGTAAAGGTGCTGGCGGTTGGCTAGGATCTAAAAAAGGAGAATTATACTTAGAGTTTAAAACTAGTATTTCACAATATACCTTTTTATTGTCTCTCTGACTTTGCATTAATAATAAACAGAATAGAAAACATTTGAGAATTCACAATTGTTTTGAAAACTGAAAGAGTTCAAAGGAAAAATCAGATAACCCTAGAAGAATATATTTTTCAGGAGAACACTTTAAAAGTTCAGAAGGTTGTAACATTAAACAAGATTATATTAGTTGATCTGATAGTACAATTTTTCATCTCAGCTAGAAGCTCTGACCCTTCATCAAATTGACTTTGGGTACACAGTATACTACCACAATTGGTGACTTACATTTTCGAGATTTTTACTGTTCTGCTTTTTAGTATATCTGCCCTAACTTCACTTGCAGCTACGCCCCAGGTTCTAAATTTATCTTTAGGGAAAATAGATACATTACTTAATGATAGGCACATAAAGCTCTTTATGTGAATATTTTTCCCTGAATGCTAATACTTAGGGAACACATAAAAATATGCATGTTCCAAGTTCATCCATACCCCATCGATTATAAATGATTACTGAGTACCGAAATCTGAAATCGATCTGTGCTCTCCCCATCCCACTGAAAATTTTACACATGGTGGAAGAAGCAACCTATTTACATAGAAATAGTTCAGAATCCAGCAGTCCACTTGTGAGTTGAGTATTTGATTTAGCCAACTGCCTGGAGAAGAATCGAGCCCGAATGTCATGATGTCCATAAGATAAGTAGTACAGTGTATAGTAAGAGGTTATAAAAGGTGAAGGTGTAATAGGTTATAAAATTAGAACATATGCGCCCTATCAGAATAGCTAGATTATCAAAATGAATCTATATTTCAGACTTACCTAGAATAATTCCTCCAAAATCCTCTTCATATTTGACAACATCAAACAAATTACTTTGAACCCATTCCCTGTACTCATTGTTACCAAAAGATTTCTTACAGTACAGACCGCACAAGTACTGACTAATACCTTTATTGAGCCACATATCAGACCAGTTTTGCATTGAAATAAAACATCCAAAAAATTGTTCTGCAATAGCTTGAGCCATAACTCTTCTTGTAATATACACCTGGTCTAAAACAAAAGATATAGATACATAAATAGGTGAAAACTGAATATTTATAATGGATATTATTTTTAACATTAGTTAATGTGTCTAAGAAACACAAAACCTTATTTTTCGTCGTTTATTTAGGCATGTTGCTTATTTTTCTTCAATGTTAACTTTTACACTGTTCCTATTCTTTTTCTAAAGATTCTCATTATATTTGTTTCTAAGCTTGGTTTATGATGTGCTTAGTTTTAAGTTTTTGCTGGTCTTCAGAATATTTCAATTTCAATATTTGTTTGGTTTGCAATTTATCAGTTTTTTTAGATATTATTAGACTTATCCAGTTTATCTGTAATATCTGCTTCGCTTATACAAATAATTTATTTGTTTCCTTATATTTTATCCAATATTGCAGTGCCAATTCATTTAATTAAGGTATAAGCTGTATATGTAAAAGTTGCATCATGTTTCAGTTGAAGTATATAGCAGGTATAAGATTGCCAGTTTTATCCTACTTTATGCTTCTCTAAAAGCTCCCTCTAAGATATAAGTCTAATAATTGTGTTACATACATTAGTCTATCAGGCAACACTTTATTGATTGATTGTTACTTACCTACAATAACAGCAGAATGCAGCAAATTAACACTCAAAATACTCATAGTAGCATATGACCTATAATCATCATATGTTTCATCTACAAAGACCTGTTTGTAGCAAGAATATGGGTATCTATTGGACAATGTTTCTTCATAAAATTCAAAAGCTTCATGCATATACCTTGTGGTCACTTTCAACAAGGGTAACAAATTTGGAAGACAAAAATGAGTAACTTCATGCATGTATGGATCTACAAAAATTTCAAAAGGTCCTACAGCTAGAGAGATATTAGGCGCACAGGTGGGAATGTTTAGTGTGTAATGGTAGGTTTTCCTTCTCATATCTGGAGTGAAGACCACTTCTATGAGGTCTCCGTTGGAAACAGCTGTTAGTTCCTCATCTACTGTGAATTCCAGTTTCCAAGTACATGTTTCTGCAAAGCTGTCCACACATGGGAACCATAAACGAGATGAATTTTGGTGGCCATATGTAAATAAGTGGACTCCTCTCTAAAATATAAAAATACAATAAATATATAATTCATAACAAATGAGCACACATAAAAATAAAGTCCAAGGAGACATTAAGTTCATATTAGACAACAATAGAATCAAAAACGTAAAAAATATTTATATCACCTTTTGAACCAGAAACTCTAAAAATATATTTAAATTATCTAAATATCAATTAGTCTATGGAAGAGCTTCATATCTCAAAAAAGCCAATTGTCAGAAATTATATCTCAAAAGTGCAAATTTTCAGAAATCCCTCAGCCAGCAGCTACAGTGTTATTTGTGTAGTTCAAACTGCATGTAAATCCCTATATATACACACCTGTATACATATTATATAAGCTCTGGTACAAACCTCTGCATAAGTTCCCTCCTTGGGTGGCACTACGAAATGTATTCCACCCTGTGGGCATTCGAGAGAAAATTCAATTCCAACTCGTAAAGCTGTTCCTTCTGCTACTAGATGTGATGCCTCTGGAGGTATGGTCACAATTAGTTCTCCAGAATTATTATCTGGATCCACTCTTAGCGCAGCGGTGAGATGCTGTTGAGAAAATGCTTCGAGGCTTCTCCTGTAAAACACCAATAATTAGATATTGAATATTTGAAAATTGGTTTACTTACGTTTCAGTATCTGACTGACAAACATCTAAAAATGGATCAAAATATTGAAAATGTGCTTCATAGTGATCATTTAGAATCACCCTGTAGATACGACATTGTTTGGCATTTAGTTTGATAATACGTAAGTTGTCCCTCAAAGGAACTACTGTTAGTTCAACAAAACCCTAAAAGTAACACAAAGAAATTAGTTAATTGCAAATTGTCTATTTATAATTTAGGTACTTACTATTATACTTTTCCTCTCAAAACTTATACCTGTTAAGCTTACGATTTGATGGGCTGTAAAAAATAAAATCAGGTTAGTTAATAATTCTTAAATAAAAAAAAAGTATGAATTATAAAAGATACTTATAATTTAAAAGGTCGGCACTCTGCAGCACAAATATTATCCCCTGTTTTTTCCTTTTTCATGATTAAGATAGTATTTATTAAAATTCTAATTTCTAAAATACATATTTAATTAAAATATACTAGTTTTAATTCATGTTTCTTTACTATTATTACTGGTTTATTCATTGTATTTTAATAATAACTGAATAATACAGTAAAATGTAAACAAACATCGGTTCTGAAAGGTTATGGTATCCAGTCAACTGTCATTAGTGTCATTAGCGGTAGTCATGACGTCTAGTTATAGCCTCATCCAAGAGATAGGTGACCCAAGCTACAAAGTAGTTATAAATCAAGGATTATATTTATTACAAAATAAAAAATTCTTGATATTTTTGACATAAATATGAGGATGAAATTGAATTAAAAATAAGTATATATTATAAAGCAGCTTATGTACTGTATGCTTTTTGTTATTATTGTACACATTATCATTATCTTTACCTGTATACCTAAGCCACAGAATAATAAACAATTGTTTATTATTCTGTGCCTAAGCGGTGATCAGGTAATAATTACATATCTTCATAACCTCATAAGCCTCTATCTTAGGAAATTTGGACACTGAAGCAAGAACACATCAATAAGCTACAGTCCTTTGAAATGTGATGTTACAGAAGGATATTTAGAATAGCATGGGCACAAAAGAAAACTAATACCGAAGTATTGCGAGAAATGGGCAAAGACTACAAAATAATAAACACGATAAAAATAAGAAAGTTACAATATCTGGAAAACGTATTAAGGGGACAGCGATGTGAACTGCTAAGATACAGGGAAAGATAAGGGGAGGAAGGACAATAGTAAGAAGGAGAGTAGGTATCCGGGTTGAAGAATTTAAGGGATTGGTTGAAATGTACCTAGAACTCTTCAGAGCAGCAGTAGGTAGAGTAAAGATACACGTGTAACCTGGCAAAAATGAAAACACTATTATCGCTAGTTGTTTGACGACTGATGCACAATTCCCAATAATCCATTAGTACTTGAATTTTGTTTTAAAATAACGAATTATCCGGCAAACGATATCGCCTAGTTCGATATCTTAAAAGCTAGACAATAAATATTTTGTGTTTTGTAATAAAGAATTAACCGACTATTTGTGGCGCTTGATTCGTTATTACTAGACTTCGGCAAATATGCATATTGCAATAGGAATACCAGGAAATAGGAATACCAGAAAAAATAGTAAATCTCATCAAAGAACTCTACAGTGACACAGAAAGCAAAATCCTACACAACGGCATAACATCTGACCCAATAGCTATGCTAAACGGAGTAAAGCAGGGCTGTGTTTTATCCCCTATACTATTTAACATTGTACTGGACTCCGTACTAACAAAGGTAAACTCTAATAGAGGAATTTACTGGGGATTAACAAACAGACTGGAAGACCTAGATTACGCTGATGATATATGCCTCCTAGCACATACAAAACAGGACATGCAACTCCAAGTAAACAAAGTACAAGAAGAATCAAAGAAGGTTGGTCTAGAAATAAACACCAACAAAACCAAAGAAATGCGATTTGGTACCAGAAACAACCAACCTATTATTATCAACGACCAGAAAATTGAGAGAGTAGCGGAATTTGTATATCTGGGCAGCATAATTGACTGTAATGGGGGTACAGAGCGTGATGTACATGAAAGAATAAATAAGGCTCGCAACGCCTACAACATGCTTAACAACATATGGAAATCCAGGATTTACCCAACGAAAACGAAACTAAAAATCTTCAACACAAACGTAAAAGCTGTATTACTGTATGGCTGCGAAACGTGGAAGATATCAGCACCCATAGTACACCAATTACAAGTTTTCATTAATAGAGCGTTACGAAAAATCCTTCGTATATTTTGGCCTAACCGAATCTCCAATGAAAATTTATGGAACCAAAGCAACCAAGAAAATGTCATAAAGCAAATAAGGCGAAGAAAATGGAGATGGCTGGGCCACACACTCCGTAGACCGCCAAATGACATTGCCAGGACAGCACTGGATTGGAATCCCCAAGGCCGACGGAAAGTAGGCAGACCTAAGGGAACTTGGAGAAGGACAGTACTGGACGAAGGGAGAACAATGGGAAAATCCTGGCTTGAAATCAAAGCACTAGCCAGAAATAGAGTTCGCTGGAGACACTTTGTGGAAGCCCTATGTTCCTCTTAGGAATCTTGGGACTATATATATATATATATATATATATATATATATATATATATATATATTTTGCATATTGTGCATATTTTATGCAAATATTTCATATTTTGGCATATTTGTATAAAAGTTTGCATAAAGTGCATAAAAGTTCAGATTTTTATACTGTATTTGAAAATTTTTAAACATACCAATTTATTTCAATTCTTGTATAAAATTTTGTAGTCATTTTAATCAAGAAATGATCTAAGTACGTAATCTCTACAGGTACAAAACATTTACAATTTCAAATAAGATCAATTTAAGTAGCCCTCAACATTCTTAGAAAGTCTTGGTCACTGAGGCATTCAGTTATTGGATAATCGCTAAGGGTTCGCTCATTTGCATTTTATGATCTAATCCCCAAATCTATCTACAATTTATTGTATCTTAACAGCAGGTAAACGGCTAATAGTTTTGTTCCTAATTTAGGGATTTTCCAAAATCTCCCAGTTTATTGAATTAGGTACCTAAACATTTCTAATTTGATGCTCAGATTTGTAAATCATTTTTGTTTTGATATTCAAAGCGTAAACACTCGTTGTGCGTAACAAAAAGGAAGATTGTGATTTTATAATGCCTAAAACAACCAGTGCTTCAACTTGGATTAAACCTTATAAAGAGCTGTCTATGGATATGGGAAAAATCTACTGTTCAGTCTGTGGCAAAATTGTAAGTATCTAATATTTTCTATTAAATATCTAATATTTCATACATACAGGGTGTTTTCAAATGACACTTACAACGTTTGACTGTAGATAGTTCTCGAAAAATTGAATAAAACGATATAGTTAATGAGGGGTCAAACTTATTTACTTTTCGAGATACAGGGTGTTAAAATTAAAAAAATTAAATTCTTTTAGTTAATAACAACAATAACTTTAAAACAAAACCAATAAACGTATTTACTTGAAATTTAGTACTCGTAAGTTGTTTTTAAATGAAAAATAGCTTCCTTTAGTGAGAAAAAATTGTCCATGGTACAATACAATGGTGTGTATTTAGAAAAATTTTTCACCTTTACTTTTTTTTATGAAGTCAGCTATTCTAAAACACAATTATTTTTATTGTAATTGAATTAACAAAAAAAAACTTTTGTTGAATTTTAAAATAAGTTATATGATGTACTAATGGTTAGTAACAAAAACTAATTTGTGGATTAATACTGCGTTTAAAACACTTAGCGAGTGTTTTTTTTTTCCAAACCAATTATTTGATTAACCAAAAACACCTTGTATATTTTTATATTTTAAAGGTTGGGTTAAAATAAAGGTTTTTATTTTTATTTATAGATAGCATGTGAGAAGAAATTTCAGATAGACCAACATGTGAGAACTGCTTCACACATTGCAAAAAAAGGAAAAATAGGAGGAAAACATCAAACTTCAATGGCGAAATGTTTCCAATCTACTTCAAAAAAATTAGATGAGCAAGAAACTTTTAATGAAGACTTGTGTCGCGCATTAGTGTCTGCAAACATACCGCTTTCAAAATTAGCAAATGTAAATTTTAGTTCGTTTCTAAAAAAATATTGCAAACTTAATGTTCCAAGTGATCGGTCTCTAAGAAGAAATAATGTGAACGGGCTATACTCGTCGGTGTTAATTAATATTAAGGAAGAAATTGCAGATAATTATTTTTACATATCTGTAGACGAAACCACTGATTCCTCAGGAAAGTATATTGCTCATTTATTGATTGGTGTTCTTAAAGAAGATACCTTACCAAAATCTCATCTTATTTCATGCCAGCAACTTGAGAAAACAAATGCTTTAACAATTTCGCGTTTTATACAAGAAACATTATCAACTTTTTTTCTTCCGACAACTATTCCTTCTAATAAATTACTGCTTATTTTATCGGATGCTGCTCCTTATATGGTGAAAGCAGGACAAAATTTAAAAATATTTTTCCCAGATTTAATACATGTTACTTGTGTAGCGCATAGATTAAACAGAGTTGCAGAGGAAATACGAAAAAAGTTTCCTCTTGTAAATACCATGATATCCAGTGTCAAAAAAGTATTTCTTAAATCTCCTATAAGAATTCAACTTTATAAAGAAATGCTACCTAACATTCCTCTTCCACCACAACCTATTTTAACGCGATGGGGAACATGGTTAGAAGCAGCTAATTTTTATGCAGATCATTTTGTTAAAATAAAGAACATAATTGATACGTTAACAGATGAAAGTTCCCAATCTCTTTTGGATTCTAAACAAACTTTTCAGAGTAACTTGCTTCAACAAGAACTTTCATTTATAAAATCAAATTTTAGTTTTGTTCAAAAAACAATTACCCAGTTAGAATCACCAAAACTGTCATTGTTCGAAAGTACAGCATTAATAAAAGAATTTGCGTCATGTTGTCGGAACGTTAGAGGTAATATTGGAAAAGATATTTTAAAAAAAATTGAAGCTACTATGGAAAAAAATAAAGGTTACCATATTCTTTCTGAAGTAGTCAGTGTTCTAGCTGGAAATATTTCGGAAACAATTAATTTAGAACCAAATGTTTTGGTTAGTTTGAAAAATGCTCCCGTTACATCAGTTGATGTTGAACGAAGTTTTTCCATATATAAATATATGTACTCAGACAGAAGCCACAAGTTTTTGTTAGAAAATTTTGAACACCACTTGGTCATTTATTGTTACCATAATTCTAAATAAGTTTATTCATACTTAAAAATGATGTAGTTACTTAAAATAAATGTAAATCTTAATGAATAGTAGGAAATATTTAGTTATGTACACTACACTTTTTTTTAAATAAAATTGTTACTATTTTACGATTTTTTTATTTATTTGTATGCATATTTTGTAAAATATTTGCATATTTTCGGGTAAACACGTGCATATTTATGCGCATATTTTCTACATTTTTATTTGCATATTTGCCGAAGTCTAGTTATTACACTTAGAAGATAAGGATTTTTGGTTTTTACAATGGATTATGTACTAATATTGGCGCTTGATTTGATATTCCAATTTTTGTTTTAAGAGTTTTTAATTC